ATATTGAAGGAGATAATGTAAACGATTGAACTGTTTTATGGTGGAGATAGGACAACGAGAAATTTGGGAGATCTGTGGTTTCCAGGAGAGGGTTTGATCAAAAGTAACACCTCGGTTAGTAACGGTAGTATGGAATAAGATAGGTGAGTTGTTCAGGAGAAGATTGGGGGATACCGTGAAGGATTTTAGGAGTGAGGGAGATTCCATCAGGATGGCTTTCGTCTTCTCGGCGTTCAGGCGTTACCTAAGCACTTATTCTATTAATATCTTCTTGGAGTTTTAGAATGGCATCAGTGAAATTGGTCGGATTAAAGGTAAGATAAATTTGAATGTCGTAGGCATACAGGTGGTATTGACATATAGATGGAAAAAAAGGTGGTTGATAAGGAAGAGCCTTGTGGGACGCCTCTGGACAGAGGTAGAGATTCTGATGAGAGGTTATTAGGAATTACAAAATAGTGGGAGCGACCAGTGAGAAAGGATTGGAACCAATTAAGAGAACTAGAAGAAAAGGAGATATTTTGAAGTTTGGTTAGGAGGATGTTATGGTCTACTGAATCAAAAGCTTTGGAGAAATCAAGGAGAATAAGGATGTTTAGTTTCTGCTGATCTATGGCTGTGTGAAGGTCATGGGAAATTTTGATTAGGACAGACTGAGTAGAATAACCAGGCCTAAAACTGGTCTGGTAGGGATTTAGGAGATTATTGTGCTCTAGGTTATTGTGCTAGGTTATTGTGCTCTAAAAAATAGGACACCTGGGATTGGACTAGTTGCTCTAAAGGTTTTGAGAGGTTTGAAATAAGGAAAAGTGGTCGGAAATCATTGAGAGCTGATGGGTTATAGAGGTCTTCTTCAAGGGGCGTACTAGGGCGGTTTTCCAGGCTAGGGAAGGTAGCATATTGAAGAGAATAATTATAGATATGATAAAGGATCAGAAGAATGGATGGCAGTGGGGCTTTAATCAGTCTGACTGGGATTTTATCGGCACCATAATCATTGGTATGAAACTTCTGAATGGAATTAAGGAGATCATCTGGGGTAATGTGGGAAAATATCTGGCGTGTCTACTCACACGACTTTCCTACCTATTTCAGAAAAGTTTTTATATCTTTACATATGTTCATAAAGAAACAAAAATAAAATTTAACTAGATTTATTTTCCTGAAAATTGACCAAAGAAAAGAATCGAGTACGATTTATTTGATAAACTAAAGCAATGTAAACCGGCTTAAGGTAGATCAGTGTAAAAATTTCAGTACTCTCTAATATTGCTGATCAAAAACATTTTGCCATAGCTTAGTATTCTCTAACAATAATTTCTGTTAAAAGTAAAGGAAATAGTGTAGCTTATGTGATGTGGGCAACAGATTTTCTGGCTTTCACTTAGTCATCTTTTTTCTCTCATACACCCCTTTCTGACACCAGGATATGAACCCGTAATCGTACATTGGAAATTGAATAGCAGGAACTGATAATTGAATAGTTGTCCAAAATGAACGATTTTTATATAGTTTTGTAGGGAATTTCATTACCTTTCAAAAACAGAATAAAAATGTGTTTTCCGAACTTAAGTGGCTCTGAAACGTATAGATCTGTCGAAAACCGCATATCGGAAATTTAACCCGATTGCAATACTTTCCTTACCTAGTATATGTAGAAAAGTAATAAGTTAAAACATGTGTAAAAAATAGAATAAGCTGTATCATCACTAATAGTGGTTCGATTCCGATAATTCTTCTTTTGTTTCCACTGGTAATTTAATTACCTTTCAAAAGTTTCATTATAAATTTGACCGTATAATATATACTTAGGGAGTTAGGCCCCATAACATTTTTCTTTTCTTTATAACTTTTTTTCCTGAATTTTCTCAGGAATTTAGTCCATATATGAAAATTGAAAGGACAATTATTAGAACATTATAGGAAAGTTTCATCAAAATTGTTAGAGCCATTTTTGCACTACAGTCGATAGAAAAACATGTTTTTCATTTATTGAGTTCAAGCTATTGCACATGGAGCACAGAATATCTGTCACAGGCATCAGTAGTCAAAACCCTACAAAATAAAAAAAGAAGCAACAAAATCGGATCAGTAGTTCCCGAGAAAATCTTGGCACAGACAGACAGATAGATAGACCAATGACTAAAAATGTGTTTTCGGACTCGGGAGGCTCTGAAACGTATAGATCCGTCGAAAACCGCATATCGGTAATTTGACCCGATTGCAATACTTTCCTTACCTAGTATAGGTAGGAAAGTAAAAAGAAGTGATAAGAATTAAAAGAGGAAAACATAGGAGCCGGACTGGACGTAGGAGATGTGGTTGCAAAAGGGCAAGAGACAAGTGAGCGTTGACGTTATCAGCAGAAACAAAATTGGACTGGGACTGAGATGTATTACCAATGGTCAGTTTTCTAGGAATAGCCCACGTAGCCTTGGTATTAGGGGAGTTGAATAAGGAATGATATTAGTAACAGGATTTGGCACGGCTGAGCTGTTTCGAAGCTGTTTGAAGGAGAACAAATCATGAGGAAGTCGAGTTTGTTTAAACTGTCGCCTTACAGCATTTCTTTATCTCATACACTCTCTCAAAGCAGGAGTAAGCAAAGGAACGGGAGGATGTCGGATGGTTTTTGTAATAAGAGGATCATGTCGGTTGAGAATAGAGTGAAGAAAAGTGGTAAGGATTTCTACCATATTTTCAATGGATTTTGAGGAATAGATGGGATCCCACTGGATATCGTCAAGATCTTTTGACAGTGTTCCATGAGTGAGAGAATATAGGTTTCAGAAGGAAATTTTTCAGCGAGAAAAGGATGGAACAAGGATATTGTAAGAGATCTGGATAAGTTCATGGGAAGATAGAAACGAGACCAGGTGCTGAGATGCGGCAAGGAGTTAGTCTGAGGAATCTAGGTTAAACAGATTGAGCCAGGACTCTGAGAACTGAGTATGATGGGTTGGGTTTTAGGGTACTAAGTAAAAACTAAGAAAATAGAAGAGGTTTATTAGGTAAGAATAATCAGAGGATGGCATCAGTAAATTGGTGTTAAAGTCTCCGAAGAGAATGACATTTGAGTAGGAAGGGATTAAGTTGTACAGAGAAGTCTCAATGATTCAGCAAAAGGAATTCTAGGAGGATACATAACAGCAAACAGAATGGCAGTTGAGGTTGTGAGGATTTAGGCTAAGAGGTATTCAATGAGAAGAGAATCGGTTAAGGAAGAGGAATGAAGGATTTTGGATTTAAGGCTGTACCAGTACTAGTGTCTGTTGGTTACAGACATAGCTTTGATTAGGTAAATCTTGTGGGGGCGTTTTCTTGCCATCCGAGGTGGCCTGTTGAAAAGTCCCTTATAACCTTTCGCCTCTGGGCGAACTCATCCCTGAGCGACTGCCGGACGAACCTTACCAGAAGTGACCCGGGCGTATCATCTTGCCTGGATCTTATCCGTTCTGAGGTTTTTACATCAAGGTATCTACATTGAATTACTCACCTTCTTTATCTCTGCTTCGGTCAACCGCTCATTGTAGATCTGAGTAGAAAAATTCCTTGTCCAAAATCCCACCATCTTATGTAGGAGCATATACTTGGATATAGTCTATTGCCACTTGGAGATCTGCAAGTATAATCCTGGACGAAACTGGCTCCCATTCTTCAATTCTACAATATGCTGCAGAAGATATAGCTATCCCTACTCCCTCTTTAGCCCAAACTCTTTTTGAGCATATCCACATCTATCAGGACATACTCATCCAGCTCCACCTCTTCACTTCCTTTCAGGGATGTTACAGCAACTTTTTCGTCAAAATCGGCTAATCGGAAGTGGCACTTTATATAATGGACTAAACATGTTTTTACAATTATCTCGAAAACCGCTCTAACGATAATGATTAAAATCATCATATCAGTGTAAAATTAAGCAGTTTTAAATAAAATTTAGTTATTTTTCTGATTTATGTTCCCTAACAGGGCTTAAACGGATAATTTTTAATATTAGCTTCCTCTAAAATACCTTTAATTTTTTTTATTTGAAACAATTGACCATTTCAAATTAATTTCTAATATGAAAAATGGTCAAATATAAAATATGAAAGAATTTGATAAATAACTAAAGGAGAAACAAGAGATCATAATGGAGAATAGTTATAATTGAGGGATCAAAGTAATACGAGCACACCCTTGCTCGCTCAGAAAAATAGAACACCCTTCCTTATGTATCACGAGATTAATACAATATGGACTCCGACAATTTTATATAAATATACTTATATGGTTTTCATAAATGCTATTGTTGGTATTATTTAATAATTAATTGTATAGATTACAGAGATAAACATTAAAATTTGTATATATGAAGGTACTTATATATAACAAATAAAAATACCCACAATAAAATATCAATAAGTATAGAGTCTATAATTTTTACTTTCACTTCGCTTTGTCTGAAAATACTTATTTTTGATAAGAAGAGGGTGGTAAGTGAAAGTTGTGTGATGCGCGCACCACACCAGATTTTTGTATGTAGTATCACTGAAAAAAGATTTGGTTGAAATCAGTGATCCACACACTGTAGCCTCGTCTTGTCGATACTTATAGTACAAAAGTGTTTGTGCAGAAAGGTCAGGTTTTTGTTTAAAAAATACAATGTTATTTTATATTTAAAAAAATAAATTTACATTAGAAACAGAACTATTTCTTGTTATTCACAAAAATTAAGGAAATGACCTTACTTGTTCTAACACACACAATATTCACTAAAACAATCTTGGGTAAATATTTGTTTAAAACAAATGTAAAAGATGAGACATTAATAAATATGTTGATTTCTTAAATGTCAATTTAATTTAATTATAATACACAGTAATCATCGAAGAGCACTAAAAATTTCATTTAACTTAGAAGAAAACTCGCAGTGAGCATCCCAGGCAGGAACACTAACTACGAGTTATCTTATAAGTCAGTAATCAATGTGTTAATTATTAAAATGTGAAAATTACCCATTCATTTCAAACTGCCAATAGCCCTTTTTAGTAACAGGCACATAAGTAAAATTCCCAACATACTTGTCTGGATCAGAACCACCAAAGATAATTTCACCTCCCTGTGGAGCTGATGGATCTCTAAAAAACATAAACAAATAAATAAAAAAAATTTAAAAACTAGAGACTAGGATTTCTTTTACAATTGTAAATATCCTTTGAAATTCACCTGTTGAGATAAAATGAAAAAACCGGTTGTGGTACTTTTTGTTGATCTACCATTAAATAAAACGGAGGTCGAACACCATCAACTGAAATAGTATCATAAGCTAATCCAAGAATACCATCAAATTTTGCTGCTACAAAAACCATTCCAGGCTCATTGACAGCTTCAGCAAATATTTGATCTTTGATTGTAACACCACCAATCTGGAATCAAAATTTATGATATACCTAATTAACACCGCTTTGAAGTTAATCATTTATAGTAAAAAATAGGGCACAATTACTTTTATAAATTTATTAATTAAAAAGTTAAGAGAGGGTATAAAGTTGGCTGATGAATGTAAAAACACAAAGTTGATCCTCCATTTTTAAGCATTTTGTGTGATATTCACTTATGTTTTTTTAGAGTACTTATTACAAATTTCAACTGCCTACATTAAATTTTTTCCAAAATATCTTTTAAAAACTCCAAAAATTAATATTTTTGAGGTTTTTCTCACATAGCATGAAGGATATGCATTATTTATTTATATTATTATTAATGTCAATCAACCTATAGTAAATCATTTTTTTTTTTTGTCTGGGGCATAGTTTAGGACCATCATCATTTGTTCAGTAAAAAACTAAGGAGAAGTAGATAAGGAAAAAATTGGTTCATTTGTTTTTTGTTTGTTTTTTTGCTGTTTTATAAATTAGAAATTAAAAAAAAAAAATTGTAAGAAATTTACTCTCCTTTAAATTAATAAAGGTACTTGGGTGAATATAAAAAAAAGTTTTAATTGTTCATTCAATTTACATTCCCTTTCATGATTTCGACTTGCACTAGCTTAAAAATTAATTGCGAAAAAAATTTAAATAAAAAATCATCAGAATATAAATTGTAGGTAGTTTACTCTAGTTTAATTTAATATAAGATTTCAAATTATAAGGACAAAATATTTGTCAGAAAAAATCGAGGGATAAAGAATAAATTCTTAATCAACACCATAAACAGCAAAGCTTCAGAACTTCAAGAACAAGGGTGCCACAAAAATATCTTAATCTGACAAGGGTGGCACAAATTATAGACACCTATTGATGTTGCACACAAAATTTGATTCTCTGTAGGTGTTCAAATCATACAAATTTTATTTTATCTACAGAGACCATAAGACTTACACAAAATTTTGTTTTATATAAAGTATATGCAGATTTATTATTAAGTGACACTTTATAACCTTAAATCACTAAGTACTATTTTAGTGAATTTTCCCTTAGTGAAATCAGAAAATTGTGTGCATTCTAACTATATTTGATATATAGAAGGGTTCGAGTCATTTTAGTGTACTTACTTTTTTTTTTTTTATTAATAAATAAGTCAAATTTCACAAAAACGTTCTTAAAAATTTAGCTTCATCAAAAATGCACTAAGTAACTTTTTACAATAAACTGAAGATAAAGAAAAGAAATAAAAACAAAAAATAAAGTAATCCTGAAATATAATACTTACTGACAAGTCATCCTGAGACAAAAATCCTGATAAACTACCAGATCCATACTGTATGGCAAATTTTCTTCCATCTTTTTTATATGTACTTGACTTGGTACCATCATATTTACGGTGCACCCCTAGATAATAATATAAAGTTGTCAAAACTTATTAATAAAAAGATGCTCGAAATATTTTTAAAAATCATGTTTTGTACTTCTGGGTACAATATGGGTAAATTAAAAAAAAACAAATAATACATGTGTGGGTCTATTTTTTTGATATTCTCGGGAAAAAAAATTATGGTAATAATACAAGCTTAAATTTTTTTTTCAAATAAGAATAGGAAACAAAATATCTAAAGTTTCGACAACAATTCACACTCAATCACAATAATACAACAATGTATCATCAATTGTTCACTATATCAACACTTTCTTAAGTGTTACCTTCACATAGTACAGTATATAAGTACATCCAAGAATAAGTTATGATTCAATACAAAGCCAAATAAATTACAATATTTGGAATCATGTTCGCCACAGACACAATGTGAACAGCAGTATGACTTCCACAAAATAATAAACTTTAAATAAACTTTAACTGTTTCATTTTAAAGAATAAATTACAGCCTCAATATTTAATCATCAGTTAATTAAAGTTTCAGACATAAAATAAATGGACCTTGGTATACAATAAAATTGGAATATTATAACATTTACTGAATGTCTTTTATCCGTTATTCAACAATACATAGTTAACAATCACAATATTGAATACCGTAACTATGTATTCAACACTACGGATGCAGCTCTAAAACTAACAATAACTCCTCTTTTCTTCATCCTCATTCTATGTATCAAGGACATGAGGACAAAGTATATAGAGTTAATCCAGTACAAACAGTTAGGAAAAATAAATAGTACCAACACATGGCAAAATATTGAAGGTAAATCCCTTGTTTGACCTTCCAGCACCTGGTCTGCATATTGTTGCCACCACTACTCAAATATAATTCCGACAAGCCTTATAGCTAACCATAAGGATAAAACAGACAAATTAAATTATAACCTCGTAAACTTCAAAATAACCGGAATAACACCCAGGCATTTAATACAATTAGCTGTGAGACAGAGTTTACAATGGAGTCAAGAGGTTTCCTAGATACTGACAAGTTGTCAGACCAATAAAACTGGAAGAATTAGAAATTCCAAGTAAGGTTCCAATAACAGTACAATGACACCATGCAGGCTGTAGAAGGAAAACTTGAGAAGCCTAAGGAACTGACAAGAGAGGCAACAACTGAAGACTTCGAAAAATATAATTTGAAATTGGCTGCATACAATGAAGTAGAACATTATTGTCAAAGATTAATCGTATCTAGTGTGACTCCTGAAGTAAGGAAACTCATTAACTTGTGTTCTACTGCAGAGCAAATGTGGGAAAGGCTGCTTAGTACATATGAACAGCGCACTGAAGAATGTCAGGACCGCCGTTTTAATGAGTTTTTTGGTATTCATGAGATGGATGTGAACGATAATATTGCAAGCCAAACAGCTGAGCTTGAAAAATTATAGGAAGATTTGAAGGCATGCGTTAGGTTAAGACATTGAATAGTAGTGAACAATATTGTTGTTCTTAAAGGATGTTGTCATAGAATAAAGTTGATATTTCTAATCTATTCTCTGATGTTTAGCTCATTCCAGTGGCATTTTGCATAGGTTCGGACATATGGACACATATTGAAAGACATACTTACAGATGGTGACACTGAATTAAATAATAAAGAAGTAAAAGGAATTATTGAAAAAGAAGGACTGATATCATGTGACGATGCTGTATAATCCTGAGCAATGTGGAGGCACTGAATGGTCAGCACAATCACATGTTTAATTAACAGGACAGAACCTACACGAGTAGACAATAAATCACTTTACGAGTTGTTGATTGACAGAAGCGCCTTTATAGATGATATAAGAGTTTTTTGCACTGAATGTTTCATACATGTACTAAAACAACAGAGAAAGAAATGGGATAAGACAGGTATAAATAAAAGGTTATTTGATGGGCTACTGCCAAGATAAGGATGGGTTTAGAGTGTGGCTTCCACATAAAAATGATATCGTTATTAGCCGGGATGTTATTTTTAAAAATGAAGAAGTGAGTTTTTGTCCATCAGAGGAAAATATGACTCGAGAACTGGCAGATTTTAATTATTTTATTGTGGTTCTCTAAACTGGTGATAAGAAACAAATTGTAGGAGCTGATTCTATTGAAGTTAATAACAACGAATCAACACCAATGGAACTAAGAGACAGGGATATGCTAAAGAAATTGTGTCATTTTGGGGATTACGCTATGGTAGCGTAATCCATTGCATTAGAGGAGGCATTAAAATCTAAAGAGGCTCAAAACTAGAGAGGCAATTCAAGAAGAACTCACATAAGAAGAAAATTGTACCTGGGATCTTGTTGATTTACCTGAGGGCAGGAAGGCTATCGACCAGCACTGGATCTTCAGGAGAACACAAAGTAAGGATGAAACGATATATGGTACAAAGCAAGATTAGAGCATTTTCGCGAATGCTCTGAGTCGATTGATTACAATGAGATGTTTTCTCATTGCAGACATCTTAACAAAGAACTTAATGAGACCAGAGAATGAGAAAGAGTCTAGGATTAAATATGAAAAAATATTTTACTAGCCATGGTTCAAATTAAAGGGGAATATTAAGATTGATTATTTTTAGTAATTTGAACTAGGCTACTGACAATATATTTTTAATATATAACATATATAATATCAACAGTCACGTTCACTTTTTCTATAAAGTATTACTTTAATTGTTCAATGTACTTTTATATCAATAAAACTTGGTTGTTACGCTTAGAAACTCAATAAGCAGATTTTTAGAAAAGATTTATAGTCCATAATTTTTTCAGCTCAGGAATTAACACTTTATATGGTTGGCACTATGTTAAAGTAACAAATGTGAGAAGTTGCCTAATGTAAACTTTCAATTATGATTATTCGTTAGTACAACATGTACACATCTGACAAAGCTATAAATTCGTAAAAATTACATTATTGATTCCGCTCTTCCGGTAGCCGTACAGATTCAACATTTTGCCAAAAGCTGGGCCCATGGAGAGTTGGATAATGGTAAACAAACGAAATTGAAGAATGTGGTATTTCACATTTCTTACTCTAACATGGTGCCAAACATCATCTTTAAAGTAAAAATATAATAGGGTAAATTTAAACTGTTCCACAAAAACCTTAAAAAAATTTCCTTATCTATATAAAATTATCATTACTTTATTAAAAAATATTATTTATTCTGTTGACGTGGGGATAAAATTGAAATAATCAACCACTTCACTAACAAAGTGTCGTAACTTACAAACATTGACCAGCTAGAGCAAAGTACTCAGGATAAATTCAATTAACTGAAAACTCTAAAAGCTCAAGATTTGGCTAAATAAATATTAACTATATAATACAAGTATTCATATGACATAACTGATAAACATTAATTTCACAAGCAGTTAAATAACATTTAGATTAGCCTTGATATTTTAACAAACTTTGATTTCAATAATAAAAAGAATCCATTGTCATACTTACAACAAGCTACATTAACTAATGAGCACTTTTTTGAGGGTACCCACAAGTTTGATGAACCAGTGTCAAAGACAACCCTAAAAGATTGAGGAGGTGACCCAAGAGTAACAGGACCATAGTATTGTGCCTGAAAATAATAAAAATATAAACATCATTTATTTTTATTAATAATAGTGGATTGATGGTTGACTGTAGTGAAATTGAAAAGAAGTTGGTTGGGGGGTTCAGTCAAAATTATAAAGCAAATATTTATTTTTACCTTATATTTTTGACTGAACACCCCAACCAACTTCTCTTCAATTATCATTATTAATTCAATGATAATTAAATAGGTAAATACCTACTTATATATAATGCCTATTTATATAGGCAAATACAATACGGTTCAATCCCTTATTCTCCTCTATTATTCAATCGATTTTCTTCCTTCTTTTTCTGTTTATTGATAAGCTTTAGTGTTATCAATAAATAAATAAAAATATGAAATAGTATATGTAAATAAAAATATAAATGGTAGTTTGTTCAAAACAGCTAATCTCCGAAAGTTTTTCACAGATTTCTTTGAAATTTTGACACAATCTTGCAATAAGATTTAGGAGTGTTTTTATATACATTTCATTATCATCAGGTCTTAGAATCCTTAGAACAGAGAGAAATCATGATAGGTGTCTTCGTTGATTACGATGGTACCTTTGATAGAACTCCCTATAACATCATGAATGATGCACTAAGGGAAAAAGACATAGACTCTATGTCCTCAAGATGGATTGGGAGAATATGATATGACAGAGGATACGATATGAGGATATGAGAGGGCAGAGTCTTAAAATCAGAATTAGAGCACAAGCATTAGTTGCGGAACTCCTGGAACACGAATGAGATTGAAGTACTAAAAGGAGATACTTTAAATAAAAGAATTTTTATTCCAAGAATTAATTTAACATTTTCGGAGACCATACTTCCATTCGAATTTCAAAGAACAACATTCTTATTAATAGCTGCATTTGTTATGACCATAATCAAATCGCAGGGTCAAAGGTTTGGAAAAATTTGTGTATTATTGGGACATCTAGTAATTTTGCATGGACAATTATATGTGGATGCAATTAGAGCACGTTCGTTTAAAATTTTGAAATTTATATTCCCAATGGCAATGTGCAAGGCTATGTACTAAACAATAGCAGAACATTAAAAAATAACATTGTTTACGGAGAAGTTCTACATAAAAATTGATTTAAATTGAATTGAAATTTATTTTTTACTTGCTCAATCATAACATTAATTTATTGTGATAAAAACACACATAAATTAAAATGGAAATTTAATATTTTTGAATGAGTCTATTTTGTATTACTTATAAATAATTTTAAGTAGTATAATCTTGATTTTTAAATGAAATTGAAATTTTCTTTTTATTAATAAATGAGGATTTTTGAATCGTGATTAACTCTTTATTTATTCAATTTATTTTTTATTTAATTATATGTTTTCTTAAATTTTTAATGATTATGGTCTAATTTCGACCACTGGGCGAACACTAGTTTTTATTAATATGTAAATTATATACATTCTATCTTCCTAGCGAAAAATAAGGTTTTAAAGAGCAATCAAAGAACAAGTTTTTTTAAATGTAGTTAAGCACTTTTTAATTTCTTTCCAAATGAAAAAAATCCATTTTTTTTTATAATGCATCACCACATTTTAAATGTCTACTATTTGATAAAAAATCATTGTGGTGGATTATATGTATACTTTTCAATGCACCTGTTTTTCACTGATATAATGTATTATATTTCACTGATTTCATTCCATAGTAAGCCAATCAGTGGAGAGGTAGTGGTAAATTAATCACCTTCATGTAGTATTACATGAGCAACACTAAATTAGCATTGGTTCAGAAGATATTCATTCATTCATTACTGGCACAACAGACGCATGTAGTGGTCCTTGGCCTGCTCAATTTCCTTTGCCTAGTCATCCCTGTTGGCTGCGCACCTGATAGATATGCCGTTTTTTCTCAAGTCTTCTTTCACATTGTCTATCCATCTTGCCTTCAGTCTTCCCCTAGACCTAACTCCCTCTGGCTTCTCATGATAAAGCCTTCTCGCTGTCTTCGCTTCATAGATTCTCAGGACATGTCCTAACCATTTCATTTGTTGCACTCGAGCGAATTGGGAGATAGACAGATCACTATACATTGAGTATACCTCCTTGTTTGTGTCCTATTATCCGTCTTAGTATTTTCCTTTCAAACCGATCTATTCGTTCAGCAGATGCCTTCGTTAGAGTCCATGTTTCACACGCATATGTTGCACCTGGCTGAATAATCGTTCTGTATATCCTAAACTTCATTGTACGACTTAACAATCTACTTTTCAGAAGGCTCGCTAGAGAAAAGTAAGCTCTGTTGGCAGCCATTATTCTAGCTCCTATCTCCTCCTCTTCGTTGTTGCTGTTGTTAATTATGGACCCGAGGTAGGTGAAGCTTGATACAGCTTGAAAAGTGTGGTTTCCTAAGACATAGTGCTGTGGTGGATGGACAAGCTTTTTCTTCCTTAAAACAAGGACCTTGGTTTTACTTTCGTTGATGCATAGCCCCATTTTCCCTGTCTCATTCTCCAACCTACTGAATGCACTCTTCACTGCTTGAAGTGATCGCCCTGCAATGACCACATTGTCAGCATACACGAGGAGTTGGGTCATTCTGTGAAATATTGTTCCTCCGTTATTTAATTCTGCCCTTCTCATGATGGTCTCTAGGGCAATACTAAAGAGGAGTGGAGCTAATGAGTCACCTTGCATAAGGCCCGAACACACTGCAAAGAAGAACCTAATTTTGGGATCTTGTTCCAAGATTTTGAAAACTGCATACAATCTCTGTTTTTTGGGAATTGTCTACTCAAAGAATTAGACAAAAATGTCTATAGCTCAACTGGATGTTGAACTGTTTTCTCCTTCCAGTCACTCTATTTTCCATACTCCATCTCTGTATATATTGATAAATTTGCTCATTCATTTTTTTCTCATTATTTTATTATTAATTATTTTTTCATTATAACTTTTTATTGTCTTATACATAGTCATTATTTTTGATATATTTTACAATATCTTAATTTTCTTTTTATATCGATCATACAACTTCATATTTCTTTTCTCTGTTTTTCACTTTATTCTAAGATTACCATTTTTCATTTCTTATGTTACCTTATTTTGATTATGTTTATTTCATTGGTCTGTGATCTGTGCTCTCTTACTGTTATTATTATCTATTTCTTAGTTCCCTGTTACTGTTATTATTCTACCTACTGTATTTTACTTTAATGTTCACTCTATCTACTTCATTTTACTTTAAGTTTTTACCTACATTGTTTAGTCTAAACCTTTCACCTTTTTTTATTTTAATTCTTTATTATTCAATGTTTATAGTTTCTTATACCCATTGTTATCTCGTTCTTTTCTTAGCCCTGATAAAGGCTTTAACTTCGGGCTGAAACATCGGCGAATGTAAAAATAAATACAATTATTTATTTTACTATTTTATTATGACTGATCACCCCAACCATTCTACTCTTCAATTATTCACTACAGTCAACCATCAACCCACATTTATTAATTTTCTTATTTGAAAGGTTCTTTTTATTTTTAATCAATGAAACAAAATTGTGCATGCGTGCGTGTCTATGTACGTGTGTTTATATATATATATATATATATATATATATATATACACACATTATTCAACTTTTCAAAATGGTGTAACAGATAGAAATTTAAAAAAAAACTTTTTCGCTTATTGTTAGTGAAGTTAGCATTTTATTTTTCAAAATTTTAATTGATTTTGAATAATGTGGATCAATTAATCAATTGATATATGAAATGTGCAATTGATGTAAACCATTCCTGATGGTAAAATTTTATAATCAAGATGTTAGTTGAGCAGCTTCTACTTTATGTTGCTACGTACATCCATGATTTACTTCAAGAACCCAATGTAGACTTATGATTTTCCCAGAAATGTGGAAGGACTTATTATTTACTATAATAAATAAATAATAAATAAAAAGAACCTTTCAAATAGGAGAGAAAATATACCTTTCAAATAACAAAGTTTACTTTTTTTTATATTTAGTTTAATTAACTATTTATTATTTATATATGCTGTGTTAAGCAATTATTCCCATGTTTATGTACATTGAACCTATTTAAAACTTTTTTATCTTATCAAGATAAGTAAAAATAAAGACAGAATAAGTTGAGACGAAATGTAAGAATTGAAAAGTTTCACTAAACATTTTTCGAAAAAAATGTATGCTGTGTTCAAAAATATGGTATGGGACCCAAAAATTCCTGTTGATAGTTTATGAGGTCCATGACATGAGATAACATTATGATTTTTTTCTTAAGATTAAACCAAAAAAAAGAAGAAAAATATTGCAGTATTCACAGGATATAATGGCTTATTATTTTGAACAAGAGAACTAGAGATTTGAGACTTGGGCAATAGGAGTTTCCTGTGAGGACTAACATATGTGTAAGTTGAGCTATTTCTCTCTCTTGGGCAACTTTACCTTCCTCACCCACAAAGAGCTTAGTATTTATTGGCTCACATTACCCTAGAGTATATTGGGAATTCTAATTGATTATTTACAAAGGAAAAATCTGTTTGTGATGTTGCATTAATTAATGATATGGAGACCAACAACTCAATAAGAAATAAAAACTAATTTATTGATAATAACATAATAGAAAAAAAAAGTTAATGCTATGCTGTTAACATAGAGCTGATTCCAAAGTTCAAAGTTCAGATATGTTGAGATCTGATAATGGCTGTACTTAGTAAATAAGAAATGTAAAATAGTATGTCACATAAGTAAATTTCCTTAAAGTGAATTATTAAAAGCTATATTTTCTAAAAAAATGGATGTGTTAATGTGAAACAGCACATCACTTAAATTAAATCAGATAAAACAGTTTCCTTATACCATATTAAAATAAATCCACATCCTTATCAACCTTGAATATTAACAGGAAATACTAAATAAATATTGACAGTTAAGGATAAAATTTGACATGACTTAAAACTAAACATTCAAGCTATTTGTTCAAGTTCAAGCTAAACATCAATAAATTGCATTTTTAAATGTTTATGCATTATATACTTACATAAATATTTTTTTAAAGAGATTATTAATAAAATATTAAAAAATTAAATATTAAATTTAAAGTCAAACACACAATTTCTCTAGCCATTACAAGAAAAGATTAGAAACCATTATTTCTCTAACATCCTAAGTTGTATGTCATTTTTACAACTCTCGAGATTAAAATTAACCAATAACATACTTTAGAACTCTTGAGATTAAAATTAACCAATAACATAAAGTTTTATTAATCTAATACTTAATAATAAAATATAGAAACCATATGCTTACATCCAGATAATTTGATAATGGTTCAGGAAAAGGCCCATCAATTCCATACTTAAATGTTATTTGTTTCACAGTAGTTCCAGAATCTTGAAATATTCGTCTGGCACTTTCAAATTTCGTTAATGGAATTCTGAAATAAATAAGTAGATAAAAAAAAAAATCTGAACATGAGTACATAAAAATTAAAACTGATAATCTACCTCACTAATTTGTTATCACCAAAAGAAACTGTTGTTAATGCTAATAAACATAAGATTAAATACATTAAGTTAACTGTTGTTATCTTTTCCATCGTAATTTAACAACGAACGGAAGGAATATTAACCGACTGTACCGATAATTCAACTGGCTTATCAGCTGTCCTTGACATAGGTCAAGAGGCAAAGTTCAAATAAAACTTGATCAAACAAATAAAACTTGATCAAACAAATAAAACTTGACCAAAAACAAAAAGTTCACTGTTAACTTAAAATATATTTATTATTTTCTCTTATTATTATGTATATATTAGCTATAAGTATCATATATTACAGCTATACAGTATCCTGTATATATTTGATAATTCGTTTATTTCCCAAATGTAATTATTTTTATAGTATTTGAATCCTTACTCTGCCATAAATAATTATAGTTATTGATTATATTATATTCCTTAATTATGGTTATAATTATCTTCTTTCTATAGTATTGGAAAATAACTGATTAACCGGCCGATTATAACTGCTCAAAATACCAGATTTTCAGTAATTTTTTCCGGTACAAATTTTCCTTATCGATAGGAACAAATGGAATTCAAACTAACATTTGATGAAATAACAGTCTGTCGTGGTTGATAATAATAATAAATGGCTAATTATAAACCATGCAAGAATTTGATAATGAACAATTGGAGAAAAAAAGCAGAATCATTTCCACAGGTGGAAAACCACTTTATAGAAATATAGATGTATAATATATGAAGGAGAGAAGTGACCAAAAAGCGGGTTGGAGCATCCAAAATGGATTTTTTTCTATTGGTTCATATTTGTCACTGTGAGTGCTCTAAAAAAAATAATACTTATACAATCAAAATATGTAATATTTTTTAAATTATAATTCATACGCAGCCACTCAATATAATCATATTTTATTTTTAAAATATATATCTCTAAAAGTATTAATGCTTTTTACTTTTATACAGGTAGTTAGTTTCTTTCTTATTCATCCCAACTAATTATCGTTTTATATATACAGGGTGACCGGTAAGTAAAGGAAAATGTTAGCAGTTGATAGCAGATCTCAAGAGCTATAAAAATGTCCATATAGACATAAATGGACCAATTTCTAGCAGAAAAGTAGGCAACGCAAGTTTTGTGTTTTTTTTAAAAAGTAATTAGTGGTTTTTTAAAATAGGAAGTGATAAAAATCCATTTAATTTAGGTAGTTGAAAATTATTTCACTGTAAACTAGATAAAATATACTTCAAATGAAAGTAGAATTTCACCTTGTTATAATTATTTAAAGAGGGCTTTTGAGTGGCTAACCTAAGCTAAATTGGGATTTTTAAAAATCATAAATTATCGCAATTTTTTTTTTTTATCATCCTCTAATTATACTATACTACTCCATTATTAGAAAAACTTCCTCGTTTAAGCTTTAAATCCATATTAATCAAGTTGAGGTTTATTATAAACATAATGTTATTTTTTATTATATCGCCGATAAGTCCCCGTGTTTTCAGCAAAAATGACTATGATGAATGATTGAAAAGCTTTTATTTCTCGTTTTTTCAAGTTCTGGGATGTATTATAATAAACACAATTGCCTAAATACACTTGATATTTATATAAAAAAACAATATTTGAAACAAATGATTTTTCATATATAGTAATCATGAACCTGTTTTTTCTCCCAGATCTCTGTCATAGTTCATCCACATCTATGAATGACAAGCAAGGAGGCCTTACGGTGGGGCAACCAGGACAATTGCCTGGGGGTGCCGACCTGGAGTAGCCCTTTGGGGACGCCGCACAATTTTCCGAAACGCTTTCCACTTATTAGAAATTAATGAAAATCCAAAATGTATTAGAATAATTAATTTTAGCCAGTCAATAAAGAAACTGTTTAAGAGAATTGTTGAATGAAATAAAATTCAAATACTACGTAATGTACAACAGCTTAAGAAATAAATTTATTGTTTTTGGAGGGAGGATATGACGTCATTGCCCAGGGGTGCCAAATGTCTAAAGACGGCACTAATGACAAGCTTAATGTTTCTACTCCTAAAATGAACGTTTAAAACAAATAACTGCTGATTGATTCAATTATTTTTTTAAAAAAATACATATCAGGATTAGGAACATTAAGCTTGTCACTGGTAAATATGAATAAATACCTGCGACAGAGATCTGAGAGAAAAACAGTTTCATAACCACTTTACATGAAAAATATTTTAAATAACATTATTTTTATTTGTATAAATAAAAAGTGTATTTAGGCAACTATTTTTAAAATAATTCATCGCAAATCATAAAAAAACAAGAAATAAAATCTTTACAACGTTTAATTGTAGTCATATTTGCTGGTACTTTTAGATGTCATGATAAAAAAATCACATAATTTTTTTACACAATTTGAGGTGAATCCAGGCCAGGTCGACTAGTCGGCAATCGCCAAGGGGAGTCGACGAGTGGGACTCAAAATCATTGTTTTATAATTTTCTAGTTTCCCAAAAATAATCATTTTGTATTGGAATAATTAAGAAGTTTTGTGACTTCTCCAATGGGGCCCAAACATAAAATTCCGTACTCCTTTATTATATAGAATGATTAGGGGACCCCTCTGAGGGCCGCTATACCGTTATTTCGTATTTTTCTGGTACCCTAGTATGTTTTGTCCCAAAAATAATTGCTTAGTGTTCGTTTATTTCCTTAATTTTTTGGGGCTCCTTCGATGGGTCCTCAATATAAATGTTTTGTACTTTTTTATTACCATAGAATGATGAAATTTACAAAAGCTACAATGATGCCATTGCAATTTTATTATATTTTAAAATAGACATATTAAATATAATTTAGAAAATCACAATCTTGAAAATTAAAAGACGCATTTCTTGCTCCTTTTTTTTTACCAAATAATCAAAATGATGCTACATATATTTAGTCATAGCTTTTTTTTTCATAAAAATAACGATAATTAATTTGGAAAAAAAGAAAGAAACTAACTACCTATATGAAATGGTGTTTAAGTGATTCCTAAAGCCCTTATAAACGTAATTAAACGAACAATAATACTTTGAGAGATAATTTTTTTGGATAAAACATGGTTATATTTTTCCATTTTGGAGGTGGCTTCAGCCCGAAAGCCCTCCAATCCGCCCGTGACTCTGTGTGTATATATATATACATATATATGAAAAAAATGGCTTTCGGACTGAAGCTCCCCCTCAAAAAAAATCCTAGATCCGCTAGTGCATGGAGTTGTTTACCTCCGGAGCACAGGTTTAATCATTTGTTTAGTGCCTATACCTCATGTATCCAACATAATTGTAAACGGAACCAGTACCCGCATACAGGGGTGCCCATCCCCTCCAAGTTCGATGGCGCAAGAACCTACCTATCCCACTCCTCTAAAGATATTTTATTGTTCATCTTTTCTTAAAAACAGAAGAAGCTAAGGTAGAATTAGAAAAATCGTATTTCATATATAATTACACTTGCTGCGGTCTGTTTTATGTTTCCCCCTTAGCCTGAAAATCTATAACCCCGTCGAAATTTGTCTCACTCAAAAATTCAAAACCCCGTCAAAATATGAACCCCTCAAAAATTTTGATGGCGTAACTTGCGCCATGAAATCCCCATCTGGCACCCCTGCCCGCATATGTACGTAAGTAAGAGAAAGTAGTTGACGGAAATCAATAAAATGAATTCTTCATTTTTTTTTACCAAATGTATAGGTATGAAACCATCCATACACCAATCCGCACAATCCCTTAAAATTTCATGGAAATAGGATAAATTGTAGCACCAACGGATCCAGGATTTAATTTTGGGGGTGGCTTCAGCCCGAAAGATTTTTTTTCATATACATATAACAATAATTAATTATAAAAAAAAGAAAGAAATTAACTACCTATGATGAAATGGTGTTTAAGTGGTTCTTGAAGTTCTATTAAATGTAATTACAGGAACAAGAATACTTTAAGAGATAGTATTTAATATTTTTTTCTGTAAAACATGGTAATATTTTACCATTTGGGGGGGAGGGGGCTTCAGCCCGAATGCCCCCTCCTAGATCCGCCTGTGAATTATAGTAGGTGATATGCACGTCACATCAATTTGACTACAGACAGACACTGAGCCAAATTATCTAAAATTACGAAATATAAACAATAATATTATAAATATAAACTATAATATTATAAAATATAAACTATAATATTATATAATATTGACACCAATAAAATTTTGCTAATAGTACAAGTATATACATAGGTGGTTAAACAAGACGGATTAATTATTATAATATAATAATTATTATCATAATTAATAGTAATAATATATCTTTATACACATGTTACTATTGTGACAATTCAAATTGGAAAATTTTGTTTACCTTAATACTTAATGTAAAATAAAAAATCCCAAAACTATTTGGGACATTAACAAATTTCAAATCTATGGTATACAGAAGGCGTTGGTACGAGTTTTTTAAGATAATTAGACTTGTTTCCTCAGTTATCACCATGGAGTGGAATGATAAGAGGGTTAAATTGTCAGTGGATCCAATTTATAAAAAACTGAAGGATTATTGCTGTAGACATGGGGAACAAATCAATATATCAGAGCTTTTTAAAGAAGATCCTGATAGATTTAACAAATATAGGTATGTTCACTATTTTTTATAGGTAAGTTACCCAAGATAAAATGTATAACAAATATATTACTATAAGTAGTGTAAATAAGAAGTAATACTTTTGGTATTGTTTATTATAGTATTTCTTTGTAATAAAATATTCATTTTTTGCAAAGAATTTTTTTCTGATGAAATAGAGTATTGATTGAATCAGTTAATTCTGATTTCTGGACTTTAGGAGTTATGTTTTATATATACTAATATAATATGTTTATTTATCTATAACATACAAATACATACACACATACTTACTTACTTACTGATGTGGTGAGGTGACTTTAGATAATGTTTGCATAAATATTGAATAGTATTTTATAGTTTCATTGCTGTGGGTTATGAAAATTTTAAATCAAAATTATATGAGTAGATTTTGAATTTTGTCTAGGAGTGACTTTAGCATCGAGAAAACCTCAGAACATTCAGATATTTTTATTTTTTGGAGATAAGTCTTCCCATCGATAATTGGAATAGACATAGGATACAAGTTCATTTTACTTATGACAATGAACCTATATCATAAGTCTAAACTTCTGTAATAATCAACCAGAGAAATTAATGATTGATACATACTAGAAAATTATTTTAAATGAAGGGTCATCTGTAACGAAGAAACAGATATTTTGGCTAAATCAGCAATTCATAATCCTCTTTCTGATATAATTTACAACCACATATGAACCTATCTCGTTTACTGATGAGCACAGGCTGGCTGAAATATTTCCAAGTACTTTCTAATTGAATGGACTTCAGCTAATTCTGAGTAGGTGCCTGCAATTGTGGCTTTAGTATTTAATTTTGTATGTAGGCAACACTGGTGTCTAGCAATAGATGTCTCAGAAAGAGGCCTGGATGGCCTAGCATGTTAAGGTATTACCTGCTTTGAAATTTTGATATCTAGCGCCACCGGTTCGAATCTGGCCTGGATGGGTTGAAATTTATTTCTTGGCAGATCCACGTAATGAATCCTAGCCTTTCCATTCTGGTTAGAATAGATGTGGTTGGATCTCAAGAATTATTAAATAAATGAAAAAATCACAGTATAAACAAAATAAATACCACAAAGGAACTAGGGATGTCTCCTATTTTAATAAAAATAATAATAATTATATTTCCCTTATAATACTACATTTATCAAACAGAAAAAGTATTTATATTTTCAAATTATTATGGACTTTATTTCTTAGAGTCTTTATTTACTTTGTTTTTGGGGAGAGGGGGGAGGGGTGAGATTCAGCCCACCACAGGATCTGCTAGGGAGTGTCTCTAAGTAGAAAAGTTTTCCTGGTAGCTTGGAAACCTAACCTTCTTGGTTATTAGATTAAAAATAAAAAATTTACAAAAAACCTGCTCAGGTTCTCTAGGGAGGGGTTTTTCTACAATTTTTAAAAACTACCACGATTTACCATCCATTCCAAACCTATCAAACGGAAAAATTGAAATTAAACAGAAATTATGAGTGTTGAATAAATCTTTGTTTATTCTGTTTAGAAAAATGGTGCTGTTTGATAAAATTTAATAACAAAAAGAGAAAATCTATGAAGTTAAACATTTATTTTTGGCTTAAATAACATTTCAAATCTCTTCATATCTCTAATTTTATCTATGCTCTTTTGAATTTTTTTTTTAATATAAATCACATGGAATGCTTTCTGTAGAGTGTATGGAATGTATTCATTAAAGAAACAAACTTATAGATTCAAGAAAATTCAGTTTTATAAATAAAATGAAATATGTAAATAAAATAAGTACAAAACGCTAAATAAATTTAGCAATTATTATTTTTTTTAAAGGAAACAAATGAAGAATTATTCTAAAAAGGTTATTATACGAAAGTCAAAGGAGCTCTCCCAAACTATTAAATTCATAGAGAATTTACTTAACATAAGGCAACATTTCCAAGAATTTAGAAAGCTCGTTACTGGATTGATACTATTTTATCATGGGTTATGAAAAATACAAAGTATAGTACATAGTGAACTTAGCCCTGAATGAAAATTGTCTTTAAAAAACTAAGAATTTCATTTTTTTTTCTTGTCCTATTTTAATCTTTTAACATTCATTTCTTAATTAATTAACATTAACCTTTTATATACCTTGAAAATTACTTTTATGTTTGTAAAAATGCATAGTTTGTTAGATGTGAGATACAATGCATGTATTGAAAACACTTAAACAGTTGTTTAAATGTCAAATAACATTTTGTTTATAATAGGATTTAATCTATCTCATGGTTCCAAAATGTATCAATAAAAAAAAAATATTTAAATCATGCAAAATTCTTTCTGTCATTTTGGGTCAGATTTAGCCTTGACCATTGTTATCTTGAATTGTAGATAGTGATTTTAAATTTTTAAATTTAAACAAAAACTATGTTGATAAAAGACATAAAAAATATTGTGATAAAATTGCAAATTTGATATTTATCCTTGTAATATAGGAATATGGTTTTATTTTTTATAATCTAAAAGTAATTATTATTAACACAAGATTTCTTTTGAATGAAACATTTTAAAATTATGAAAATATTTGATTACTAGTAAAATATATAATTTAAAAATACAACTAGTAAATGCCTAAGCCTGCTGCTGAGTCTTGTTCTTCTTCCTAAGGCTGGAATAGGTGGATGACTTCTAGAATAACCCACCATTTTTTCTTATTTTGAGTACAAAAGAAGTCTTTAATTCAACAAATAAGAAAAACCGTGTATTACTATTTTTAAAAAATTGATTGTATCTTAATGAATTTATTTCAGTGATTTTTTTGTTTTAATCAAGACTTGAAATAAAATGTTAACATTTATTCTTAATCAGTTACGGTGTGTATGGAACCTTTATATTCAATTTGTTTTCTGTTATCTTAGAATTAGAACATTCCCTTTGAAACTTTTGAAGTAAAGGACAGAACTTTTATGTTAAAACAAAAATTATTTATAAGTTTTGTCAAACCAATTCATTTGATGTTGAAGTTAATCTAAAAAATGGTAATAAAGCAGTATATTGTTACTTACTCAAACAAACGATATATAATAGGTAGTTACTTAAGTTCTTGTGCAAAAGTATACTACATATTTTTAACATTATTGAATTCAACTCTTCAAAGTAAAACCCACTGTTTTCAATTACTTTCACCCATCTTTCTGCCATTAATTGGATTTGATACTGGAACCACTCCTTTGGTCTTGAAGCGGAGAACTCTTCACATGTAATTTGGTAATATCACATTTATTGTTTCTAAAGATCTTACATTTAAGAGATTATGGATCTGTTAGTATTATAATAGTTGTTTTAAGACATATCTCACTTATATTATTCTTTTAACAGCCTAAAAATTAAAACACCAGACGATGGGGAAATCTTAGTTGACTTCTCAAAAAATAGAATAAACGATGATGTGTTCCAGATGCTCATTAAACTGGTAATTATTAATGCATTTTTTACTTTTAACCTTTGATTGTTTCTCTTGTTTGATTTCCTAAAATAAAGTAATGAGTAAGACAAGAATTTAAAAAATACGTAAGTAGTTAAATAAAGACAAATGTGTTGTAATGAAGATAAGAATAATGTGGTAGGACTAAAAACTAGGAATAGAATTAATTTAGTCTGAGATGTTTTTCATTGTATATGTATTCAATGTTTTTTTCATTTACATGGCTATAGTTTGGCTATCATACCATCCGCAGACTAATTGTTTTATGTTATAACTTAAGGCTGGATAATTAAATGTCATAGTTATGACATAAAACTATTGCCCTAAGCATAGTCATGTAATTAAAAAAGCATTGAATAAATGAGCGATGAAAAACGAATTCAGCCTACATAATTTTAATACTTAATAAGTTTTCACATTAAACTTCCTATATATTAATGTACGAATTCTGCTATTTTTTAAGGTTATTCTATTATCTCATATATATGCTTTGTTAATCATCTCTACAAAATAAATTAATCAAAATTGATTAAGAAGGCACCCACGGATGGGTCTGCGGGGGCTTTTGGACTGAAGACTAGAGTAGGACCCCTAAATAATAAAATATGACTATGTCTTATGAAAAAAAGATTACAAAATTATCTCTAAAAGTATAATTGTTTGTTTAATTATATATAATAGGACTTCAAGAGTCGCTTGAACACCATTTCATATAGATTGTTAGTTTCTTTCGTTTTCTTCCTAAGTAATTATCATTACATATATAAAAAAAACAAGTTTTCCGGTGGAAGAAACAAAGAAAAATAAATAAATGAAAACTGAAATCCTGGACCCCCTAGTGGCCCGGATTGTGAATTTTTCATAAATCACATCAGCGAGTAATAGAATTATAAGAGATGAGATTCTATAAGTAGGGGTTTTTATTTGTTTATTATCAAAAAAGTGTTTAAGGTGTTGGTCAAATTTTGTGAAGAGGGAGTAAAAGTGTATAGGGTCCTGTTTGGTAGATAACTATGTCTATATCTTATCTGAGTAGTTTAGTCGGAAAGGAGTGGAATTTATTATTGAAACTTTATTAGACTAATTATTTCACTAATTCAACAATTATTATTATTATTGATAAAGATTATTTATCATCCTCATAGTTTAAAATATTTTAATTGAAACTTGCTGGGGATGTAATAGTAAATTGAAATTTATAAAAAAATCTTTTAGTCAGGTTCATAGTATTAAAGAAAGTATACAATAATTGAAATATAATTGCTTGCCAGAGAAACTGATTTTTTTTAAATTATCGAGTAAACTAGCCTTGTTAATTTTTTCCACACTAAAAGGAATGTCATACCTGACATCTTTATAAAATAGGAGCACTGAAAAACCTTTATGTTGAAAATACCCCACTGACCTTGTATTCCACATTATTTCAGGAATACGGCATATTACTGTATTTGTATTTCATTTTTTTCTGTTAATTTTTAATGTAATTTAATTTCAGACTTCCTGATCTACTACTATCTGCATATTTTTTGTTATTATGAATATATTATTATTCATAATCATTTTATATTGTTATAAAATACAACGGTAAAATTTAATTGTAAAATTGTATTTAATGGTTCATTTAAAAATCGCTATTTCATTTTTTGTCTGTAAAGATTTTTATATAATTTAAACCATTCCAAATGTTAAACAGTGTATATTAATATTTATTTCCAGGCTACCTCCAGAGGAGTATTAGAATCTCGAGATGCTATGTTCAAAGGAGAAAAAATCAACATAACTGAAAACAGATCAGTTCTACATGTGGCTTTAAGGAATTTGTCGAATGAACCAATAATGGTTGACGGTAAAGATGTTATGCCTGATGTTAATGATGCTTTGAATCATATTCGATATTTCTGTGAAAGAGTTAGTTGCCATTCATTATAGTCTATTTATGTCTTAAAAAAATATTTATTTCATTAAAACATATACTCCATTCTATATCATTTTTTTATTTTAGATTCATTGCAATGAATGGTTAGGCTACACTGGTAAACCAATTACAGATGTTGTAAACATTGGCATTGGAGGTTCAGATTTGGTAATTAACTTTGGTCTAATCATCCTTTGTATTATTGCTTGTATATTCATTTCACTTACTAAATCTAGCCAAATTAAATCTTTTATTAGCATTCCAAATCATTTCTTTTTCTATTTTTTATAACAATTTTTTTTTTCTTTTTACTCATTTTAAGATCTATTAAAATCTGAAGGTACGTTGTGCTTCTTGAAATTTCATATATTTTGTCTATTGTATTTGTGATTATTTATGTAAAACCCTTATAATTTTTTCAAGGGCCCTTTGATGGTTTGTGAAGCTCTAAAGCCTTATTCTGTTGGTCTCAGACCACACTTTGTTTCCAACATTGATGGTACCCATATAGCTGAAACACTAAAAAAATGTTGTCCTGAGACAACTCTATTTGTAATCTCCTCGAAAACATTCACCACTCGAGAAACATTAAGAAATGCTTATACTGCTAGACAATGGTTTTTAGATTCTGCTGGAAATGTAAGTATGTTCTCTGATCGTAAAAATATTATTAGATTTTATGTGTTTTTTCCAATTTGCCAAATAATGCTTATCTATTTTGAAGTTATGTATATTATTGAGTAAATAATTTGAATTAATGCTGTTTCATCACCATTATTGTTCATGTGAGGTACTTTTTTGTATAATCTAGATCAGACTATGATCCCAACACATTACATGACCTGATCAGATATTTCCTAATTTAGAAAATATCCTTTGAGAAACTAGAAATAGATTATTATATTAGAATCTAATCAAAAGATGATGAACGTGTATTTTTAGCTACTTATTATTGTTACTATTAATGCTTTTAACAGTAGCACTTAAAATGTACAGTCATAAATAATCATTAAAAAAGGGAAGTATTTAGAAAATTTTTTTTTTTAGGAAGCTCACATTGCAAAACACTTTGTTGCTGTTTCAACAAATAAAGAAAAGGTGAAGGAATTTGGAATTGATGATAAGAATATGTTTGTTTTCTGGGATTGGGTGGGAGGAAGGTATTTATGTTTTGTTTTTTTGTGCATATGTTAATTTTGTGAATTATTGAAAATAAAAAACAATTAAATTTTTCATTTTCTAGATATTCGGTATGGTCATCAATTGGACTGTCTGTTGCTCTGAGTATTGGATATTGTAACTTTGAAAGATTTTTAGGTGGTGCACATTTTATAGACAATCATTTTAAAACAGCTCCAGTTGAGCAAAATGTACAGCTTAAAACTTATTATCTTATTTATTTTTATTAACACTATTCATAGGTCTAAGTTAAAATCTTTTCTGATTTATACATTTCAGATTCCCATAATATTAGCCATGATTGGTATTTGGTATTCTAATTTTTATGGTGCAGAAACACATGCTATTCTTCCATACGATCAGTATTTACATAGATTTGCAGCATACTTTCAACAGGGAGATATGGAATCTAATGGAAAGTATGTTCACTGATTTAATAAATCTTATTATTAGAAAAATAATTATATAGCTAGAAAAGAGACAAAGCGATTAAGATATAAATGGAAAAATCTAAATTATGAAGCCATGAATCTCTAACATACAGGTGAATAGTTAACCAACCAATTCAGCCATGACAGAAATAGCTAGACCCCATATGAGCAGAAAGAAAAAAACAAAATGGGGGGAATTATATATTTATATCTGTATTGGTTAGCATTTAAAATAACTGATCATTGCATAAGTCCTTTATTGACCAGATAGTTGAATATGACTTCAACTTTTAGGTTGTGCGATGCACTGTAAGTTATTTACAAAACAATGGACCAATTTTCAGCCATAAAAGTAGGAAATCCAAGTTTTGTGTTGTTTTTTTAAAAGAGAATTGTGTTTTTTGTAGAATAGGAAGCGATAACTAAAGAAATATTTAATTTAAGTAATTAACAATTACTTTACTGTAAACTAGACAAAATTCATTTAAAATGAAATAGAGTTTGTGATTATTAAAATCATTTAAAGAGGGAGGACATTTGAACGGCTAAACTCAGCTAAGTTGTGTTTTTAAAAAAATCATGAATTATGTGCGATTTTTTTTTTAATCTTTATTCAACTATACTACAGATACCCCGCTTTGAGGAAAACTTCCTTGTTTAATAAGCTTTAATTATTCCATAGTAATTAATTTAAAGTTCATTAGACATAAACTGTAGATTCACATCAAATTTTCTAACGGAATAATGTGATATTCCATCCAGTCTCCTAAAAGTACCCATGTTTTCAGTAAAAATGACTATAGTTAACTGTTGCAAAGCTTTTATTTCTTGTTTTCCATGATCTGGGATGTATTGTAATAAAAATAATTGCCTAAATACACACTTCATTTATAAAAACAAATAATTTTAAAATAATGATTTTTCGTGTAAAGTGGTTATGAAATTGTGTTTTTTCTCCCAGATTTCTATCGTAGGAATTGATCCGTATTTATCAGTGACGAACATAATGTTTCTAGTCCTAAAATTGATGTTTAAAATAAAGTAATCTGCTGATTGATTGCTTAAATTATTTTCCTGAAAACGTAAATAAAAATAATTTAATACATATTATTTTTTTTTAGAATGTTAAGTATTTCTGGTTACAACTACATCTGTTACTGTTTTGTATATGTTTACAGGAGTGTTAATCGAGGTGGAGAACCGGTGAGTTATAGCACTGGTCCTGTAATTTGGGGTGAGCCTGGTACGAATGGTCAACATGCATTTTATCAATTAATACATCAGGGCACCCGTCTTATACCTGCTGATTTTATAGTCCCTGCAATCAGTCATAATCCCATTTCTGGCAATGAACATCATAAGGTAATAAAAAAGTTGGTTGTGCAAATCTCTCTCATGTTCATTCATAAGTTGTCTTACAAATAGATTATAAGAAACTATGTAGGAAGAAGGGATTAATAGAGTTAGTGCAACAGTCCCGAGTTCCAATTCTGTCCAAATCTTGTTATTGTGAAAGACAACTAAATAGAATGTTCTGTACTCCAATGCAGAGAAGGCAACATCCATCACATGATGATATTGTTGTATGGCAGGTTAAAACTTAGTATCTTAATTATCTTAGTATCTTATTAAAATGTTAGGAACTTTAACTGGTGATCTGGAATGGTATGCATAAAATATTTAGGATACGGCAGAGAAGTTATATCATTTATTTTTTTTTAACAATCACAAAATCTTGATCTAAAAACAAATATTGTTAGGATTAAACATAACAGCAATGGAGCAGATTGATTGGAAAAAGAAAGGTTACCCGTTGACATGCCGAAAAAGGATGCTGTTTCAGAATTTCCTTTGATTTGATGAACATCTTTAAAATTAGGAGTTACAGACTCTCCTCTCTATTATCTGTGCAAATCAGCAACAGTGTTATTGATCAGACCTGGGCAAAAAGTATTTTAATTGTTATTTTAAAATATCATGTATCATGTGTTTTTAAGATACAGAGTATTTTAAATATAAGCTACTTTTCTTATTTTGTATTTAAAATACAAATAAGTTGCACTTAGCAACTACATCCTATAAAAAAAATTATAATTTTTCTATTAATTAAAATTTTTCATGTTATCTATTTTTATTTTATTATATGGTCAACTCTGTCAATGACAATTCTTTCAAACTTTTTTTCTGGCTGTACTTTTCCCCAATTTAGTCATATTTTATGGCAACCCATTGCCCTCTCCTAATTTCCCCATTTGTATCCATGCCATTTTTATCAATTGTAGTACCTGAAAGGACATGTGTACAAAGCTAAGCTCTGTATACAAGACAAAATGAATGAGTTAACCATTGGAAATGACAATGGCAATATAGGCATACAGGCGAGATTTAATTTTTTACACATAATGTTTTCTATTTCTAAAATATTATTTATATGAGGTCATGATGATCCAGATTTTTAAGGAATCATAACCTTATTAACCTAGGGTGTAGTGGCTATTCTACTCTTTGTGGAACATCTAATAAAAAAATTCATCACTGTGTTGATTTGTTCTGTTTGTATGTCTTAAGTATTAAATTTTTTTCTTATTACAGATTTTATTAGCCAATTTCTTGGCACAGACCGAGGCATTAATGGTGGGAAGAAGTATTGATGATGTTCTAAAAACTGAGAAAAATGAAACCTTAGCAAATCAAAAGGTTTTTTCAGGTAATCGACCAACTAACTCAATTGTTGTAAAGAAGATTACTCCTTTCATACTTGGTGCTCTGTTAGGTATACCCATTTTTTCACATTATTATTTATTCTATCTGTCAACAATTATATAAGTACTAATTTTTCTCTTTCGCTTTGCAGCTATTTATGAACATAAAATTTTTACTCAAGGAATTGTTTGGGATATAAATTCGTTTGATCAGTGGGGGTAAGATGCTCACAAATGTTTGTTAAACATTATAATTTTAGTCATTATATTAAGTAATATATTAGTAATTTTTATTTCTTCCCCACAACCTTGCTTATAGGTCATTTGACCTATTAGATGCAAGGTTATGGAGAAGAGAACTAAAAATTAATCAAGGAAAGTCAACTATACCTATTTTAATAATGAGGAGTCTGAATAGGAAGGTGAATGATAAGGTGTATATATACGTATATATCCATTTAAGCAGCTGTGGTAACTATGGAAGATGACCACTTCCCTGTCTGAAGGTACTACTTTACAGGAGTGTTTGCAGGTCGACATGTTTGTTGCCTTACTTAGTAATCTCAAAAAATAACAAATAAAGTGAATGATACCTACTTAATTAGATAAACTAAATGACAAGTGAATTTTAATGTTGATGATTTTCAATATTCATCAATATGAATATTTTAATAAACAGTATCTATCTCTTTTAGGAACCTTGCAGCACATTCTTTTTTATATTTATAAAATAAAAAATGTGGATTTAAAATACTTGTAGCTTTATTCTCTGTTAAGCTAGTAAGTGCATTATAAGTATTACTTACAGGTATTGGCATTGCATTTTCTTTTTCTGTTTTTTTTTTTTAATAAATGATTATGACAATTTTTATTAATTACAAAAAAAAGTTGTTAGTTTTTTTTACGGCTGTTGACTGGGGCTGTTATAGGCAGCAGTAGTAATCGTTTTGTTCTCTCTTTGTTGAGATATCTCCAAGCAGGAATGGAAACCGCGCATAGTGGTCCAAGTAGTCGAGGTAGGGGCCTGCACTTAATTAATTTTTTTGTGTTAATTTTCGTGTTCGGGATTTGAACACTTGATATAAAATTTTGAAGGTGCCTTAACTCCCTCGACCACCGTGTCCCCACAAAAAAAAGTGGTAAACTATATATTATTAACATATACTATGACATAGGTGGGGAACCGCGGCCTCAGAGGCCATTGAATGGAATACTATTTCTTTTAGTCCTCCCTTTCATTTCCTTTTAGGCTATACACGGTTTTCCCCGGCCAGGTGGTGCGGGCGGGAGATTAATGCCAGAGTTAACAACCCCTTCCCTCCTCTGGTTAAAATAGGCTCCAGGACACAAAATCGTACTTATTTTATCTTCTATAACTTTAGTTATCAGGTTGGCAGGCAACGGACAGTGCTGTGTATACGCGTTAGACAGCTCTGACAACCGGTTCCTAGAGGAAGACTAATTTTCCTGGGTAGCAAGAATTACTGATGTCATATTCGACAATGCTGAGAACTCACTATAGCACAAGAAGGTTAGGGGGCTTGATCCTTCCTGTGGTGGATACCAGCTTTAACTGACCTGATAGATTTCTGCTAGACACAGTAGTGATACCAAAGGTATAATGAGAGGTGAACTTTACATCATAATTAGTATATACCCAAGACCAATCAAACAAATATACCGTAACCAGAAGCTCACAGAAGAGGAGATCCTTGGATGAGTTGATTGTTAAAAAATCCTTGAGTTATTCCATGAAACTTAAACCATATCTTGAATACAATTTTATCATGAAATAAGGTGCAGTTCGGCAAAAAAATTAAGAGGATCACATGTTTTTTTCCGGATATATAGGGTCATCCCTCAATCGCCTGCTTCAATCGATCCAGCTGATCACAGTAAAGATCTTTAGTAATAGTTTTTTTATTTAAGATCAAGGAATTCATGATGAATGATTCCTTCCATATCCAATCAAATAGACAGCATTGCATTTTTCGGATGAAGTCTAGCTTCTGTTATCGATATTTCTCCAGGACTTAACCACTCTCATTTTCTCCATATATTTCTGCAAATTTCCGATAAGTTGAAGCAGCATTTTTCCATTATCAAATTTCCAAAGCATAACATGGTATAAGTGGTTTGTGGGTAGATCCATTTTAATTGAAATTTTCCTATAATATAACTAATATTTTCCAACAAAAAGATGATGAATAGAAGATTATAAAATGTTATAATAAACAAAATATGTAAGTACAATCCAATTGTAAAAGAGGGATTAATATCAAAACTAACAGACATATTTTTAAATAACAACATTATTACTTATGTGATGATGTGATGAGGAGATGCTTAATCAGAGTGAATATTAGTTTTCAACGATTAATATGGTGTAAAGGTTTTCTGGAAGTATTAGATGGGTTCATCAATAATATTGCTAGGCTTTTCTTTTATAACACAAGTTAAAAGAATATTATTTATAAAGGCAACATTAATTATAAATACTATCACAATATAATTGTGAAATTATGTATTTTTATTATTTAATCCAATAGAAATACAAAATGTAACGTAACTATAACCTTCACATTACATTATAATATTGCATAAAAACTTGCAAATTTTGTGGATTGTTCCAGAATGAAAAAAAGTTACTAAAAAAGTAGAAATTAAAAAAGTTTAACTTTAACCACATGTATTGCTCTTGCTTATCTTCTGATAGCAGATCTGCTTTTTTGTTGTCATGGCTTGAGTGGTTCTTGCCCCATCATTCCAATCGAAGAGATTCTTTGAATAGTCCATGTTAATTATAATATAGGATCTCACAGCGTCTTAATGATAATAATGGATGAATGTTACAAATAAGGTGGAGTGTCATCTTTGCTGTAACAAGAAACATTTTTGAACTGTTTCCTATATCAAATAGATAACTTCGTTTGTAATCTAAGACAACAAAGATCCTATTTTTTATGAGGAACATAAGGTAAATTGATATTCAGTTTCTACATTGGCAGACAATAGCTTAATTTTTGTTTATTATCTTCATTATAATTTATATTTCATCATTCCTGCATAATATTATTGATCATTTTATTTATGCTAACTAATAAGCAAATAGCCTTTGACCAAATTACTTATTTCTATCTTATAAAATACTTAACATGTATTATGCCACTTCTACTGCAAATTTTCAGGAATAGGGGTTTTATCTAATCAAACATTGGATATTGTCATATTGCTGAATTTCTTTCCAGTGTAATGCATATTTCTGGTGCAGTGCTCGTATCACACAACTTTCACTTACCAACATTAGAGTAGATAGGTATTTTCATTTATAGGGAAGACAAAGTGAAAACAACGGTATAACTTCATTTAAAACAATTAATTACCATGTTTGTCCTGCTGATATAATCTATTAATTTTATAAGTTTGCATCACTTTCCATTTCCTTTTATGCCTGTGCATAGGACTGAACAATACTAATGATTGTGGGGAAAAATAAATTTTTTGGAAAATTCTCAATTCTATCGGAAACAGTTATCAGGAAAATCGTGGAAAGAATAACTTAATGTTAGTAATTATTGCAAACTATTAGGTTTATATTAGTAAATTTTCAACATTTTGCATGAAAACATTTTTAGAAAGTTATGGATAAGTGGTATATAAAAGTTATACGAACAATATGAAAGCTCCTGTATAGAGCGATATCGGGTATCTGTAAAGCAAAGGGATCATCTGGAAAGGTCAGGTGCTCTCGGCTGTTTCCGTATAGCTTCCAACCCTTATTTCTCCGATAGTTACCCTTCATTTTCTTCATTAATTATATTTAACCATTTTTTTTTTTTTTACAGTATTTTACAATGTGAAAAGATTCATTATTTCAAATAAAAAAATGGAAGGTACTTTAGAGGAAGAAATTTTGAAAATTAGGCATTTGAACCTTGTTAGATAACATCAATGAGAATAAAACCTATTTTAAATAAAAACTGCTTAATTTTACACTGATATGAATTTAATCAAAATCGTTAGTCGTTTTGGAGAAAATAGTAAAAATGTGTAAAATCGTTGATATAAAGTGGTACTTCTGGTGAGCCAATTTTGAAGGAAACGTTGCTGTGATATCCCAAGCATGTACAAACCTTAAATATGCAATTTCAGTTCCGTACGACTTTTGGTTTTTGAGCTATATTGTTCACACACAGACCATTTTGCGGGACTTAGTTACTTGGCCTCAGGGACCTCAAAACATGTATTTCAGATTCAAAAATTTTTGTAATCTCAATATTTTCCCTTACTACATATTACATATACGAGGGAGACACAAAAAAAGGGGGAATTTCGTCATAACTTCTTTATGTTGTAATATTTTTACATCAAATTTTGACCACCTTCAAAATATTCTTGATTGACCACAACACACTTCTCCAAACAATCCTTCCAATGATCAAAACATTTTTAAAATTTAATTTATCGGGATGTTCTTTAGGCCTCCCAGCAAGTTTTGTTCTACCTCCTCCACAGTGGCAAAACGCTTTTATCTTGTTTCCCTTCTGACTCTGGAGAACAAAAAGAAATCACAGGTGGCTAGATCCGGTGATTAGAGGAGGTGGACAATCGGTGTCATGCCGTTTTTGTTCAAAAACTGCTTTACGGAGAAAGCGGTGTGGGTCGGCGTGTTGTCATGATGGAAGAATCAAGTCACCTGTGCTCCAAAGATCTGCACTTTTCTTCCAGATTTTCTCCCTCAATCTTTTCAAAACCTCTAAGTAGAACTTCTGGTCGACAGTTTCACCTGGGGGAATGAACTCCGCATGCACAACACCTCTGCAATCGAAGAAACAAATAAGCATTGTCTTGATGTTTAACTTCACTTGGCGAGCTTTTTTGGGATGAGGAAAGTCAGCTGTTTTCCTCTGGCTTCATTGCTGCTTTGTTTTGGGGTGGTACCCATAGCACCAGTAATCATCTTTGAAAACAATTCAGGGTGCTCTTTCAGCTGATTTTGAAGCTCAAAACATGCCTGAAATTGACGCTCCATTTGTCTGCCTGTGAGAAGGCGAGTGACAAATTTGCAAATCTTAGGGTAAAATCCTCTGGATTAAACTCCATGATATTCCAGACATCTCACAGAGTTGATCAATGGTTTGACTTCACTAACGAGAGCATTGATTTTATCGACATTTTCATCACTTCTTGACGTTGAGGAGCATCCTGCATGGTCTTCAATTGACATTTCTTCATTTTTAAAACATGAAAACCACTCGTAGACTCTTGTTTTACTGAAGGCAGTATTTTCATAAGCAGTTTTAAGCATTACAATAGTTTCTGCGGAAGATTTCTCCAACAGGAAACAAAATTTACAGCTGTGCGTTACTATAATCAATTGGCCATCATGTTTTCGGCGAAATGGAAAAAATTGTTTCACTAAAAAAATTCTCACAGGCGGACTGATGCACTCACAGCAACACAACTTCGCACACTAAATGCTGGAGACTTGTCCCTAACGGACACCTGGTCGAACAATAGATTTCCCACTCTCCCTCCCCACCACAGCCCGATTCCTGTTATTTTTGCACTCCCCCTCGTATAGATAAGTGAAAGTAAAAATTAAGAAGAGCTCTATAGGTTAGATATGGACTTACTGGTGGATGTCACTGTCTCTATTTTTATAATTGATTTCATTACCTCAAATTGATAAAGTGTTATATGACTTTACTGTATAATTTTATTTTAATATTTTGCAGTGTTGAACTCGGAAAAGTTTTGGCTCAAAGAATAGAACCTGAGCTGCAAGGTAACCAGCCTGTTAGTTCACATGATGCTTCCACTAATGGATTGATTAATTTCATCAAAGCAAGCTGGTAAAGTAAGAACGATAGTATGTCTCAGGTCCTCAGAGCAATTATATATCTTTATTCTTTTACTTATTTGAAAATTTATATTTTTGTACTGAGTTTTTTTAAAGTGTTGGAAACTTGGGAAATAGCAGAAATAAAATAAATTTGCCATATCTTACTGTAAGGTAGTTCTTTTACTTTTTCTCTAGTTCCCTTCCTTATGGTCTGCATCTTACTAAGTTATAATGTTAAAAATTTTACTATTAACAGCCAGTTGGTTCTTGTGAACAATTTGCATGGTTTATTGATCAGTGACTAAAAAGTAATATCATACAGAAATAAGTAAATTTCAGGAGAGAAATTACTTTTTTTTCCCCTGTTGATTAAAAAGGTTCGTTATTGAAAATATTAAACTATAATATGTGTACAAAGTCCACTATATCTTTACTAATAATGATCTGATTTTGATTATTTATTTTTTTCTGATTTCTAGGGAGTTTAATAACCTTAATTTAATAAAAAATAAATTGTTTGCTTTTTGAATTATAAGCTAGTAAGTTTTATTTCCTTTTTTTTTTTTTCTTTAGAGATATCCTCATTTTTCAACATTATTAAATTAGGTAATCTTGTAATAATTTTGAAATTATGGCTTTATCGCTGGTTTTGATGAAGAATCAAGAATGATATAGTTAAGTATAAAAAAAAAAATTGGTGAAAAATACTATATGTGTAAACACTAGTGGATCTAGGATTTTATTTTAGGGGGAAACTTCAGCCCGAAAGCTGTTTTTTTTAATATAAATATACTGGAGGGGTGCCCCCACCCCTAACCAGCCCTGTCCACCTTGGGTGGACTAACCCCTCATAGTACAGTGGTTAACTTACAGTTCTCACATAATGAAATATGCCGATTCAAGACTGGTTTCTCCATATACCTTTACATAGGGTGGGTTGCCCGAATAGGTTAACGCGTGTGCACAGCACCGCAAGTTGCCCGGCAACCAGATAGCCGAAGCTATGAGATTAAAAAAAGTATGAGTTCACGTCCTGCTGCCAGAGTGGATTTTAAATTCCCGCCCTCACTCTCCGTCCTGGGAAAATCCCGTATAGCCTATAAGGCAAGATAGTGAAGAACATAAAAAAAAAAAAAAATTGTTTAACTTTAATTTTATATGTATTCTCCAGTTCTGGTTGTATTATTGATTATCAACATAAAATAAACTGAACGAAAGCACAGTTCAAACAAAGTTTTAATTTCTTTAAAAATGATACATCATGCCTCATTGTCTCGTTATATTATTCATATTGCAAATTTGTAATGATAGTATATATTCAACTCGTCTAGCTTCATATAAGGTCAGCAATAATTTGAGCCTTTTATTTGTATCATTTTCATAGTATATATTATTTTCATTCTTCACGCTTTGCCTTGAAATTTTGGCTTGACATTGCTTTTAAACATGCGCGGGGTTTAATATATCTACTATTATAAAATATAAGATGAAAGTATACATATTTTTTAAAAACACACCATCAGTTGGATGTAAAAGTAACACATGCGGTCCAAAATATTTTACGACATTGTTTCAATGTTAAAGATTTTCAAATATCAATCGTGGCAATGCATTGAAATTGCGCGTTATACCATTTATCATAGCATTCATTTCAGATGCATTAGAGCTGCCTTCCACCTTCCTCAAAAGATTTCGCATACCCCTCCTAAGATAGTTGATTGCTTGCTTCTTCATAGTAACAATTTTATTAAATATAGAGTTGGAAAAATTGTATTGGAAAAATAAACCATACTCATGAAAGAAATCCTACAGTAAACGGCAAAACCTTATTCCAGTATAATGTTAGATAAAAGAATTTATTAAGAAATGAAAACAAAAAAGGAACATAAATGGTTATAATTATTACTCAAGCGTTAATTATTTTTAAATAATAGCAAATCAAATATTTGAGATGTATCATACAACTTCCAGAATACATTGGGGGGAAAATAAAAAATTAATAAAAAGAGCGTATAATAGTGTTGTTTTCGGGAAAGTATGTTATGCACATAAATTAAGAGGGTTTTAAGGGGAAGACTTTAGCCAAGTTTTGTTAAAATCTTTAAAGCCGTTTTGGCCCTTCCAGTGTATAGCAACACATTTTTTTGCGGCTTTGAACAAAAAAACATTTACATTTTTATTTTTTTTACATATATAAAATTATTGTAAGACAGAAGTACTATGCCAGAAACAGCAGGAGTGTACGAACCAACTTCCCAAAGTTTCATGGCGATCGGATGAATGGTATAGTAATGCATAAAGGACAAACAAACAGACAGACATACATTCATTTTTATATGTATAGATTGTATTCAAGGGGAAATTTCTTGATCAAAATATAACTGCTGCCACCTAGGTAAAATCAAACTACCACCTCCAGACGAAAATACCATTTCCCGTTCAAATTTTTAGTCTAAAGTATTTATTTTGTATTTGGAGAGTCGGAGGTATCAGAAGCTCAACACATATATAATTATTTATTTATTTAAGCCCTTCCATGCCATTGAGGCAATACGGGTTTTACAGTACTGAGTTGTTACGCATGACAAGTTGTGCAAACTTCCTACCTTCTGCATGAAACTAATTATCTTATTATAATCACCTCGCTGTTTAATTTTATCTGTGGATGTAAAGAGATTGTATTATAGAGTCATAATAAATTTATGTTTAAGAGAAGATTAAAAAAGCATAGATATGAGATGACAGAATTTTATAACCTCAAAAAAATAACAAGATTCCTACATTGATATATAGGAATCTCCATATATATATAATGTACAATTATACATAAAAGACATATCCATGAAATGATAAATTTAAATAAGTCTTCTGTAACTATGAACATTTCTTTATTATAACAAAGAAAAAGAAAACTTATAGTACTGAGATTCTTAACTATGTCTCATAGTAACATTATCATTAGGAAGTTTCTTACCACTGTCTCGACTATTATCAAAATATGTTCTAATTTTCATGGAGGAATAGGACTGTAATAATAAAATGATTTTCTTGCTAACTGATCTGTGATAAAATAAATAAATGAATATTTATTATTCCTAAACATGGTTACTTATAGATTTATTGAATGAAATATGAGAAGTACAATTGAACAGGTGAGATGAAGAAGGTAAATATTCCAGTTTTTTTTTTTTTTTTTTTTTTAGTTAAGATAGCCATTTTGTTCTTTACATGTTAACTCATCTTTTTGAATGAAAACGGGAAATATTCCTGTCATTTTTATGCTATTATTGGCGGTGAAAGTTTTAGCTGAGTTTAAGAAGGGAAAAATTCCAGGAATCTTTCCCTTCTTGTTCTCAGTAAGCAGCTCCACCACCAGTGATCGCTCTCAGTGTTTGTTCTGTTTTGCATTTTAGGTAATTTTTTCGTTGATACACATTTTGTGATTATAGCTATTGTTTCTTCTAGTTAAGTGATATATTAAAGGTTTTAAAAGGTCAGAAAGTTCTAAGGTTGAAGACAGCCCTATCAAGAAAAGGATAGTTTGCGGAAATATTACACAAATCATGAAAACAGCTAGATGCAAAGGGGAAGAGTTTGTTACTACAAGTGGAAAGTTAGTGGAAGAAAAGAAGTCTGGTCCCGATTGTGAGTGCAAAAAAATGTGTACTGTGAGTTTTAATGATGAACAAAAGCAAAATAGTATCAAAGCTGTTTACAGTGATAGGTAGGCCCAAAAACGAACAGGACACTTATCTGATAGGACTGATTGAGCGACATGATATTGCAAGGCATAGACCTAAAGGTCCAGAATCAAATCAAAACAGTTCATCCTTTTGCTCTGAAAAATAGAGATCGGGTAGACTTTTGCCGTAAGGCTTTTATGAGCTTACATGCTATTTCAAATAAGGTGGTTATCAGCAAACAACAAGTTTTGGCTAAAAATGAACAACCTATTGACATGAGAGAAAAACACTTGAACCATTGCAGAATTCCAAACAATCTTGTGATTAAGTTAAAAGAACGCATTGATTCTTATCCCCAAAAAACTTCTCACTAATCATCATATACTTAGAGGTTGGATTAACGTGCGTAAAAATGTATAAAATGTTCCTGGAAAAACATCCAGAACTCAAAGATCTCATTAAGTATGAGTATGTTTTAAATTATTACAAGGAGAAATATGGGTACCGGGTCGGTAGGCCTCATGTGGATGTGTGCTGCACGTGTGAATTGAGTAAATTATAGAAGAAAAAAAACAATAATTCTTACCTAAGCCATCAGTTTTTGACACTGTCTAAGATTATTTTCTTTTCTTCAAGTTTGCCAAGAATGTTTGTTTGTGCTATGTTCATTTTACTACTACACCGTAATACTTTTAGGCCAAAATAAATTGTATATTTTATTTTTCATTCATTGAGATCAAAAAGAGAAAGATTCCGCCGACTTTGAATTACTACACTGTTTTTATTAAGAACAAGTTTGACACTTACATAGGTGGATATGATTATGTAAGATTATGGGCTACAACTTTGTAATTGTGAATTTTGCTATTAGAATCTTAGTTTTGAAACTAGAAAGTTTTTTGCAGTTTCTCTAAAGTTTGATCTATAATTTTCCCTTCTTTATCTCACCTGCTCAATTGTTGAAGATTGATTACACAACTATGGTTCAAATTTAACTTATGATAATTATATGAAGTACATTTAGATAAAATAAAATTCTTTGATATCAGTTTAGGATATTTATGTATGTAATTAGAAGGTTTTTAGAAATATTGTCTACTAAATAGAATAATTTTGGACCTTAATTGTTATAAAAACAATATTATTGTTCCTTTAATACTAATAAATTTTGTTGAGTAATAATTACTATAAAATATAATTACTTAAAACAGGCCAATGTCGATCAGAAGACTTATTCATGAAATAGGAAGAGGATTGAAAAATTCTGATTTAGTCAAGATTTCTCGCCGGGGTGATATTATAAATGTAACATTGCTCCTGATGCTTATCCTTTCTTGGTACATTCATTATAATTCTAAAATCTGAAGTTAAAAGAAAAATATTACTTTCATTTCTATTAAAATTATTCCTAAATGTTTTAATTTTAATAGTTCCGATCTTAAGTGTATCAGATTATCCTGTTATTTTGATAAGGTAACCTTCCAAGCGAATATTGTAATCAACTGATATTGATAAAATTTATTCAATTATCCAATTAGCAAAGATACTGAATTCTCTTTAAGTTTTTTTTATTTTAGAGAAATCATTCACCTTCTTGAGTTCTAGCTGAAATAATTAATTATAAAAATAATTTTTATTTATCATAAAAAACAATATCACTTTAAATTAAAATCAATCCTATACATGTTGGCCCATAAGTAAAAGGAAATATTTAACGGTGTAATAGTAGACCTTAAGGTCTAAAAAATTTTTATAAACTATGCAGGAATTTAATTTTTTTTTTAAGTTAGCCATCCTTTTTGTTGAATAGGAAGCGATTACTATACAAATATTTCATTGAGGCAATTAAAAA